AATGATAGGTGCCGGCTTAGTTATTGAAAAGGTAAGAATAAAAATTGTTTATTTTATGAATATTTCAGTCTGATTTTGAATCGACTTCGTTGTGAATTTTATGAAGATAGAAAATTATGTTGAAAGGACAATTAACATTTTTTTAGAATTTCACAACTATCTTAAATAATTGATCAATTTTTATTCATAGTCTACGAATGATAAATCACAATTTATCACCGCAAAAGACAATTCAGAAATGCCATTACGAGTAAGAAATCTATTGGAGAAAGTAGGCGATGAACTCATTCTTAAAATTCAACTCGGCCGCACACCTATTCAAGGTTTTCCTATTAAAATACTTGACTGTTTAAGCCATTCGAAATTTACCAATAAACAACTTGAACTTGGTTATGATGAAATTTATCACAATTATTTACTCATTACTATTAAGAATAGTCATGGACCCTATGTATTACAACATATGCTTGGAAATGTCAGCCAAAATGCAATTGCTAGCACTGTTCTTAAACTTGAAAAAACAGAACGTATTGCTCTCAAATATCCAACTATACCTGACGAATTGATTGATGTATACGATATTCCACTAACATCAAATAAACCATTAACACTCAATCAATTAATTTCTACAGCATCGAATGTCGACAAAAATTTTTACAGATATGATGTTGGTGAAAACAATATGTGTCAAACATTTGTCGAAAACATTATCGATATCAATGGTTTGATGCCTAACATTGTTGATCAAGCAACATTCAATGCTCTCAAACCAATTAATGCCAAAGCATTGATTTCTACATTAGGTAGTCGATCTAATATTGTTAAAATGGCGACTGATTTGAGTGCTAAATCGGACAAATTAATATACGATCATAAGATCAAATGGAAAAAATCTCAAACAAAAGAATTTGTTCTATTGAGTGATGCCAATGTTACTGATTCTGAAAGTATCAATGCCATATGCAATGTGATTTTTGAGCTGGAACAAAATGGTAAGAATAGAAAACATAATAAATTCTATTACTTATACATCATTATTATTTGTAGCACGATGGCTTCTTCACTGTACGCCACCACAATCTCCGCCAGAATCACCAGTGCGCTGCAGATTTTAAGAAAGAAAAAGACTTATATA